GGGGGGGGGGGGGGGGGGGCCCCCCCCCCCCCCCCCCCCTGAACCCGAGCAGTGTTTTGTTATTGGACTTCTGTGCTCATCATGGATTGTCCATAACCAACACCACGTTCAGGCATAAGGGTGTCCATATGTGCTGTGGGCACCAGGACACCCTAGGCAGTTCAATGACCGGCGTTGTTGTTCTTTCATCTGATCTGCGGCCACATGTTTTGGACACTCGGGTGAAGAGAGGGGCGGAGCTGTTAAATGACCACTACCTGGTGGTGAGTTGGCTCCATTGGTGGGGGAGGATGCCGGTCAGACCTGGCAGACCCAAACGTATAGTGAGGGTCTGCTGGYAACGTCTGTCAGAGTCTCCCGTCAGACGGAGCTTCAGCTCACACCTCCGGGAGAACTTTGAACACGTTCCAGGGGAGGTGGGGGACATTGAGTCAGAGTGGGCCATGTTCCGTGCCTCCATTGTCGAGGCAGCTTACCTGAGCTGTGGCCGTAAGGTTGTCTGTGCCTGTCGTGGCAGCAACCCTCGAACCCGCTGGTGGACACAAGTGGTGAGGGATGCTGTCAGGCTGAAGAAGGAGTCCTATCAGGTATTTTTGGCCTGTGGGACTCCAGAAGCAGCCGATACTTATCGGGAGTCGAAGCGGATTGCGGCTCGGGTGGTCACTGAGGCAAAAACTCGGGCGTGGGAGGAATTCAGAGATGCCATGGAAAAAGACTTCTGGACGGCTTCGAGACAATTCTGGTCCACCATCTCGGGGTTGGGTTGTTTCTCCACCAACACTATTTATGGTGGGGATGGTGCGCTGCTGACCTCAACTCGGGATGTTGTGGGTCAGTGGGCGGAATACTTTGAAGACCTCCTCAATCCTAACGACATGTCTTCCCATGATGAAGCAGAGCCTGGGGACACTGGTTTGGACTCTCCAATCTCTGGTGCCGAGGTAACCAAGGTGGTTATAAAGCTCCTCGGTGGCAGGGTGACTGGGGTGGATGAAATTCGCCCAGAGTTCCTTAAGGCTCTGGATGTTGTGGGGTTGATTTGGTTGACGCAACTCTACAATATTGCGTGGACATCGGGGGAAGTTCCCCTGGATTGACAGACTGGGGTGGTGGTCTGCCTATTTAGAAAGGGGGACCGCAGAGTGTGTTCCAACTATAGGGGGATCACATTTCTGAGCCTCCCTGGTAAGGTCTATTCAGGGGTCCTGGAGAGGAGGGTCCGTCGGATAGTCGAATCTCAGATTCAGGAAGAGCAGTGTGGTTTTTGTCCTTGTCGTGGAACAACGGACGAGCTCTACACCCTTAGCWGGGTCTTGGAGGGTGCATGGGAGTTCGCCCAACCAGTCTACATGTGTTTTGTGGACTTGGAGAAGGCATTTGACCTTGTCCCTCAGGGACTCCTATGGGGGGTACTCCGGGAGTATGGGGTACCAGGCCCCTTGATACAGGCTGTTAGGTCCCTGTATGACCGGTGCCAGAGCTTGGTCCGCATTGCCGTTAGTAAGTCGGACTCGTTTCCGGTGAGAGTTGGACTTCGCCAAGGTTGCCTTTTGTCACCGATTCTGTTCATAACTTTTATGGACAGAATTTCTAGGAGCAGCCAAGGTGTTGAGGGGATCCTTTTTGGTGACCTTAGGATCACATCTCTGCTTTTTGCGGATGACATGGTCCTATTGGCTTCATCAGATCCTGATCTCCAGCTCTCACTGGAGCGGTTTGTAGCCGAGTGTGAAGCGGCCGGGATGAGGATTAGTACCTCCAAGTCCAAGACCATGGGCTTGAGCTGGAAACTGGTAGCGTGCCGCCTCCGGGTCAGGGAGGAGGTCCTGCACCAAGTGGAGGAGTTTAAGTATCTCGGGGTCTTGTTCACGAATGAGGGAAGAACGGAGCAGGAGATTGACAGGTGGATTGGTGCTGCGTCTGCAGTGATGCGGGCGCTGTACCAGTCTGTTGTGGTGAAACGGGAGCTGAGTCAGAAGGCAAAGCTCTCGGTTTAACGGTCGGTCTACGTTCCTACCCTCATCTATGATCACGAGCTTTGGGTAGTGACCGATAAAATGAGATTGTGGATACAAGCGGCCGAAATGAGTTTCCTTCACAGGGTGTCTGGGCTCTCCCTTAGAGATAGGCTGAGAAGCTCAGTCATCCAGGAGGGACTCAGAGTAGAGCCGCTGCTCCTCCACATCGAGAGGAGCCAGTTGAGGTGGCTCGGGCATCTGTTAGGATGCCTCCTGGACGCCTCCCTGGTGAGGTGTTTTGGACACGTCCCACTGGGAGGAGGCCCAGAGGAAGACCCAGGACACGCTGGAGGAACTAATGTTTTTCGGCTGGCCTGGGAAGGCCTTGGGATTCCCCCGGATGAGCTGGTCCAAGTGGCTGGGGAGAGGGAGGTCTTGGTCTCTCTGTTTTGGCTGCTGCCCCCGAGACCTGACCCTGGATTAGTGGCAGAAAATGGACGGACGGACGAGTTTATTTCAGAATATCTCCAGTGAACCTTTTCTTCAGCCTGATGATATTTACCTCTAACTCTGTTCTCTCACAGATTGATGGACCTGCTACCTGTCCAGGTGTCCCCCTCCCCTCAGTGTGACTCAGCACCACTGACCCTGAAAGGAAGAAGTGGGTTAACTTCTAGGATGGATGGAATGTTGAGAACATTATTTTAACAAGAGGATGATTTCATTATAAGATGAGCAAAGTAAACTTTTATCCTTCATATAAAGTAAATAAGCTTTGTTTCCTTTAATGAGATTAAAAATAAAATCTTTGGGTTATTCCAGATCTTTTTTTTACAGCAGATTCTTTAACTTGAAGAACCAGGAGGACCATATGTGTTCTCATCGTCTGCATTCCACCTCTGCAGCTAAACACAGAGTAAAAATGTTCAGGATCAAAACGTTTGAAATGGAATGCAGCCGTGGTTAAAACACCTGCAGTGACGTCTTCAGGACAAAATGTCTGAACTTTGTTTTAACTCTTGAACTACAACAATAATGAGCTTGGATTATTTGATGACATAGCTACCTTTCAATAATTATAGATAAATATATATGTTTTACCTACATCGTGTGGACCATTTTCCTGGGGACCAATTCTTGGTTCCCAATGGTACGAATGCACATCACGGGGGTAGGTTTAGGACTAAGGTGTGAATTCAGTTTAGGTTAGTTTCAGAGTCGGGTAGGTACCTGTGAGGTTAATTTTAGGGTAAATGGTCAGGGTTACGATTAAAAAAAAAAAAAAAACGAATAGAAGACAATGCATGGTCCCCACAGGGATATAAAAACCAGACGTGTGTGTGTCTGTGTGTATTATTTGTACTTTATTTTATGACAAACTTTGTTTAATCAAGAGAAAACAAAATATTTTTTTATTGTTGAATGTTTATTTTAGTAATTTTAAATAATGTAAATAGAATTTATGAGCATATTTTTCTTCCAAATTATATGAAAGAATACATGTATATAAATGATTTGTTTTACAAATATTCGATTTGTTCATGTTTATAGCAGGTAAAATGTCTACCAGCTGAGCTAATAATCTGTCTTTATAAAATTTGTTAACTTTAAGTAAAATAAGTCCTTAATATCTACTACAGATGTATTAATCGCTCTTAAGTTCTTTAAAATTAAAACCAAGAAAAATAATGCAACAAAATTTCAGTGTTGACATTTTAAAATTAATACTTATGCATTGTTTTTAGTCATTAAAGTGTTTTTAAACATATAAATCGAAGTGTTGAAGCGATTCCAAATATGTTTTTTTTGCTGCCCTCTGGTGGTCAGAATGTAAGACTACAATGTGGAGTAGTGTAAAAAGTAATTGCAATTCTAAAATGTTTGCAATGTAAATGACCGGATTATCAGCCTAACCAGAGATTGAAATGTTAGCAAAATGTAGTTTCAGCTTTGACTGGTTTATATTTATTGTATTTTATTTAATTTTTTTGATTTGATAACATCCACATCTTGTTTCTTTTCTGCCCTCTTGTGGTCAAAA